GAGCAGGAGAGAGAGAATCCGAAACAGGCTCAGCACTGGCAACACAGAGCCCCAATGTGGGGCTGGAACTCATAACCTGAGCCAAAGTCTAACACAACCAACTGAGCCACCCAGGCGCCCCTCAAATATTTTTACAGTTTATTTATTTTGACAGAGAGAGAGAGAGAGAGAGAGAGAGAGAGAGAGAGCACGCGCACACGTGACAGACGGACAGACAGCAGGAGAGGGGCAGAGAGAGAGATTCCTGAGCAGGGTCCACCCTGTCAGTGCAGAGCCCAAGGAAGGCTGGATCCCACAACCATGCGATCATGACCTGACCTGAAACGAAAAATCGGATGCTTAACCGACTAAGCCATTCAGGTGGCCCTCTTCCAAATATTTTAAAAATAACAGAAGCAATTATTTGTTGAACATCTATGCTCAGCTAATACTCTGAAGATTTAAAAAAAAAAAATCTTCATCTACAGATTTTATTCTCATTGGAGATTAAGTTCAAAGTCAATGCACTTTTAGAGTAGAAAAGACAGCAACCATCTAGTTCAAATAAAATTAAAATAGTTAAAATTTAAGAATATATACAACTAGGTATTAAAAAGGTGAGTTTTGAGTTTACAAAGTACCACAGAAGGTCAGAGTAGGAAAAGATGGCATTTAAGATGGTATTGATGAGATTTGTGAACAGGAAAACTTTCATTTTTAGGTTATAAGAGCTTAATAGGAGGAATGAGTAGCATGAGCAAAGGTTTGTATGGAAAGGTTTCCACTGAAGAACACTGGCAGCTAAAGCAGGAAGAACGGCAGAGACTTTGTCTATTATAATAATCTGCCAAAAACCTTCACAAATGTCTTAACTTTATCTTATAAAGGAAGAAACAAGTTTTTCTGAGAGCAAGAGTAGGAAGTAGGAGTCTCTGGAAACATAACAAATAATTAATGTTGAATGAATAAATATCAAATGTCATATATTTTAATTTCCTAAAATTTTTTAGAACTGTACTTCTAGATCTATAGAAGTCAATCTCAAAGTATATAATTTATATGTCAAATGAGTTTCCTGTACACAAATCTACTTTAAAGATTAAAAGACATTTCTGGCTATTATTCAAGTTCTTATTTCTCCATGCATACAACAAAATATTTACTGAGAGTCCATGGAGTGTCAGGCACTGTGCTTATAATTGTGCCAATTTTCATGATACAATAATGCTATCTACTAACAATCTCAGTGTCCAAATACGTACTTGTATCCTTTCTCCATTTTCCACTAAAATATGAAACTACTATAGTTAGACTGAGACAAGAAATAAAATGTATAGTGTGGTAGAGTGGTTAATCAATTGGCACTGATGCAGTGGTTCAAATAACCTGGAGAGAACTTAGCAGGTTCCAAGCACTTTGCTGAATTTTTTACATGCATCAACTCACATGACACAATGATATATACACTATTACTACTTTTATTTTGTACATAAGGAAAATGATGCTTAGAAGTTAAATAACTTTCCTAAGATCCTCCAATTAGTGCAAAATGCTTCATCGTTTAAAAAAAAAAAAAATCAAATAACTAAGGAGGTTTTCAATTATATTTCCAAGAATGCTTGTACTTTTTAATGGTTTTCTCCAGTCTTTGAGGCAAAGTTTGTTACATGAAGAAATTTCAAATTGAGACATGATAATGTAGTCCAAAATTGTAACAGCAATGAAAAAAAAAAAGGATCAAAATTCGTGCCAGGCTACAGTGTAAATCAGTGGTGAATACTAAAATGTGTCTTGAAAATATCTGCCAAAAAACAGTCTCCTTACTGTGGTCTCCAGCAGTCTCATGGAAATTTCTTAATTTTATCTACATGAAATATAAAAAACATATAAATACTCTAAAAAATTCTCTAATGAGAGATGGTATAACAGCTAAAGTCTTACTGTTTGTTATCTGTCATAATAAAGTCAGTAAAGCCTAACACTAACAAATCAAAGAATTGCAGTGACAAAAGACAAAAATTCCTCACCTCATGAAACTTGAAAATTATACTGGCGAGAATAAGTAAAATATGTATGACAAACCAGTGTTACAGAGAAAAATAAACTAAGGGAGGTATAGTGTGTCTGGGGTGTCATTGCCAGGGGAACTCCTTAGTGATATGGAGACAGTTGAACAATGATAGAGGGAAGTAAGAAAACAAGTATGAGAGATAACTGAGTAAAAGAGGTTCCACACAGATGAAACAGTTAAGTGTAATCACTGCGAGGCAAGAGCACTTTGTTTTTGTTTTATCTGCACTATTAATACTTTGATAACATTTACAATTTTTACAGTTCGTGATTAGTTCACTTAGCTGAAAAGATTCACTCAAATGTCAATCTTTTTCTTTTAACGAAAATGAACCAAAATATAACTTGCTGAAAAAAAAAACAAAAACCAGTATGGAATGATTGCTTCATCCTGTCTTATCCAAAATCAAGAAGAGCCTGATGGAAATAAAATGTTACTTCCTCATTCTTGCTACAGTCAAGCTTCTTCAAGACTTATCTGGAATCTATTTCCTAAATTAAGGTTCTGCCACAAAAAAAGTCAAAGCAAGAAAGTATTCAAATGGGAACACTTCATTAAAGTGGAATGAAGACTAGAGATGAGAATATTCTAATTAAAAGAAAAGTTACCTTAGGAAACTTACTAAAAAATCGAGGTGTGATAATTGAAAGAAATTTGCAAAATGTAAACAGCTAACAATTACAGAAATACAGGCTAGACACCAAATTTTCTTTCACAGAAAAGCAGTGTTCACTACTCCAAAGTATTCCAAAACTCTAAAAGAAGCTTAACAGTTAAGTAAAAAATGCTATGAATACTATTTTGATTATTCATCTTCCAAAAATCAGATTGTGAAATATTTATCCTAGGTCTCAATTGCAAAATGTCAGCATATATAACCAGACATTTAATAACTGCTTGAAGAATGAATGAATTTCAAATTTTTCTATTAGGGAATCAACTTTTTTTTTCAAATAGTAATTTTTAAAATTAAAAATTACACACAGCATGTTTTGGCAGGATAATAAAGTCATAGTAGAAATCACTGTGACTGAACTTTTAGAGTGCCTAAACTTACACATGTATTAATACTTCATAAACAAAATGTTAATCTTAACCTGTGTCTATCACAAAAATAAATCAAAATAAAAAGTGATCCATAACTACCTCCATAGTTTCATAATGGTTCAATATGGGAATTTGTTTCAGTGCATTATTTTATATCCAAAAGAAATCTAAGCTCCTCCCAAGGTGACTTTGAGCCTAAAAATTTGAGCACTGGGGCATGACTGGCTCAGTGGGTGAAGTACGGGACTCTTGATCTCAGGGTTGTGGGTTGAAGGACCACCTTGAGTGGAGAGAATACTTAAAAACATCTTTAAAAAAAAAAAAAAACAACTTGAGCATCACTCTTGGTATGATCTAATGATGGTCTCATTTATATACGTAAGACTTAATTTTTTTAGGGGTGCCTGGGTGGCTCAGTCAGTTAAGCAACCAACTATTGATTTCCGCTCAGGTCATGATCTCACCATATGTGTGGCTTCCTCTGTGCTGGCTCCCTCTTTCTCTGCCCTTCCCCTGCTCATGTGCTCGCTCTCTCTCTCTCTCTCTCTCAAAATAAATAAACATTAAAAAAAAAATTTAACTTTTTTATTTTGAAATAATTTTACACTTTATTTGTCTAAACTCTGTGGGTGGTCTTCTTAAAACACAAGTTCCTTGAGGGCAGAGATCTCTGACATAGCATTGTACACTGATGATGTCCTGTTAGGAATACTCCTGTGGCTTCTGCAAAGTCAATAATAAGTAATGTTTTTAAATGAGTTACTTACCAGTTAAGAGGAGCATAAAATAACTGAATTTCTACTTTAAAAAGGGACTTCTTTTTCCGTTTAAAAATAAAGGTACACTGAACTTCACTAAAGCTTGCACTCAGTAGTATACCAAAAGACAATTATTAACTGGCATAGGAATTACAGGGGTCCTTTTAAGAAGCCTTTAAAATACTCACTAAAATATGAAAACTTGCATTGATTTAGAAATAATGAAACTTAAGGTAGTACAATAGTATGCCCACATATTAAAGCTGTTTTCCAAAGGGTGGTCCCTCGAAAATAAGGAAGAAAAAAGGAACCAGTCATGAGCGAGTTGATATGGAGGTTGGCACATTTCAAGGCACTCGGCCTTACATTGTCTCACTTGACCGTCACGGCAACCCTGTGGCCTGATGTTATGAATGGGAGATACTCAGCATTAAAAGGTTAAGCGACTTGCCCAAGGTCAGTCAAGAAAATTAGTGGTTCAGCTCTACCTAGAAGGGTGTACTTCACCTGACTTTCTACTACATTGTCCTGCCTCCCCGACTGAGGCATTATTAGAGTAAAAGAGCAGTGAATCAGACTGGTATTCAGCACTACCCTCGCCCTGCCAAAGAGGCGGGGGCTTGCCTCTGAAAGCTTTCCCTAACAGCTCAGTCGCAGAGAAGAAAGTTGTGCCGATCACCGATCAGCCCACTTAAGTGACAGGATGACAGGCGCAGCCCCCAAAGGACCAGCTTCTGCATTCCCAGGAGCCCCTCCAAACCCGACGCCAGCGAGAATGCTCCCGGAAACGTCTGAAAAACCTTTCAGCGAGTTTCGCCCCCTCCTGGGCGCGAGGAACGAGCTGGGTATGAGCCAGAGGGCGGCCGGCCACCCGAGCCAGCCATGTGTCCAGCCCGTCACGCCCGCCTCGCCTCAGCCGGCTCCTCATGCCTTGACCGCAGCCAGAGGCCCAGCTCAGGATCCGACGCAAAGGCTGCCTTAGCCGCCGCCACCACCGCAGCAGTCTGAGGCGCCCCGGCGCGGCACTCGCAGTTAGGTTCCCGCCCCACCCCTCCAGTTGGGCCCCTCAGCGACGCCGTCCGCGCTTCTGGCCAGGCCCGGAGGGCTCGGCCTGCCACAGTCCACCGCCCGCCCGGCGTCCTTACTTCATTGAGCTGGCGCTCCGCGGCCTCACGCAGGGCTGGGTCCATGGTGCCCCGCAGGGCCTCGATAATGGTGTTGGGGTCCATCGCAGCGCGGACTCGGTCAAACCCGGAGCTCGGGTGCTACTGGGCCAGGAATAGCGCCGCTCACTGCGCACATGGACCTGCCGCGCTCCGCAGCGGCAACCGGCGCGAAAGGAAAGAGAAGCGCCAAGGCCCCGGATAGAACCTCTTCGCCTCGGCGTGGAGGCGGGAGATGCTCCAGCCACTTCCTGTCGGCGCGCCCGCGGGGCACCTTGGGAGACGTAGTCCTCGTGAGCTTTCCACATCCCACGTGGCCCTGAACTGTTGCTCCTACAGGCAACTCTTGCTTTTCAAAAAGGGAAAATGTTCCAACTCCACAGTAAAAAAAATTAAAACAAACCCAAGGATTTCCCATAATATACCTCTGGTGATTGTGAGGTGAATCTAATGCAATGTATGATGCAATCCATTGCTAGTAGCTTTGTAATTGAAGGTAATCTTTTGAAAAGCAGTTTGAGATGTGTTTCTAGATGCCATAAAAGTATTCATAATCTTTGCCCCAACTATTCCCATTAATGAGACTTTATCTTAAGGAAATAACACAAAAGATTAAATCTGATTTATGTGTAAAAGATATTATAACATTACATATTTATGATTACCAAATATTAAAAATATGGTTTTTATGGAGTATCCAAATTTTGGTTGGAACTTTCTATAAATCAACTGTAAATGCAGAATAAGAGCATAATCCCTATTGGAACACTACCTTCTTTAAAACAGTTAAAGCAACAGTTTCAGAAAAGTTAAATAACATGCCCAAGGTCACTTAGGTAGTAAGAAGTTCACCCAGGATTTCAAACCTAGGATGTTTCTGTTTTAAAAGATTTCATTCTCGGGGCGCCTGGGTGGCGCAGTCGGTTGAGCGTCCGACTTCAGCCAGGTCACGATCTCGCGGTCCGTGAGTTCGAGCCCCGCGTCAGGCTCTGGGCTGATGGCTCAGAGCCTGGAGCCTGTTTCCGATTCTGTGTCTCCCTCTCTCTCTGCCCCTCGCCCATTCATGCTCTGTCTCTCTCTGTCCCAAAAATAAATAAACGTTGAAAAAAAAAATTTAAAAGATTTCATTCTCTTTACTGAATCACTCTGCCTTTCAAGAGAAATGTCGTGTGATATAGGAATTGTTAAGCAAATTAAAAGAATTCAGTCGGTTAAATATTTCACAGGCATTAAAAATTACAAATATCATATACTTTGGGGCGCCTGGGTGGCTCAGTTGGTTAAGCGTTCCACTTTGGCTTACAGTTGGTGGATTCCTGCATCAGGGTCTGTGCTGACAGCTCAGAGTCTGGAGCCTGCTTCGGGTTCTGTGTCTCCGACTCTCTCTCTGTCCCTCTCCTGCTCACAGTCTGTCTCTCTCTTTCTCAAAAATAAATAAACGTTGAAAACAAAAATTAAAAAAATATATGTATATACATATATACATAATATACCTTGTAACAACACAGAAACAGTTATGTGAGGATATGGCTTTATAACATGGACAAAGACTTGGGAAATAAAGCTGGCAAATGAAGTTAATTTATTTTCTAGGATGGTGATATTTTGAGTAATTTCCTTCCATAACTGTCTTGATTATAATAAAGTTAGGTAAACATATATCCTTAAAATGAATCATAAATTTTAAATGCAACTTGTTAAAAAATCACTTATTGTTTTCAGTTTGCAAAAAAGGAGAAAAGGGGGCACAAAAGTCTTTCCCTGGAATAGTGGACTTTGCAATATTAATATCCCTTATATGCCAACCACTGTGCCTGGAAGTGTGGTTTACATAATTATCCCTAATTTACAAATGAAGAATCAAGGCTCACATAAGCTACTTAAATTGTGAAAGGTCATAAAATTTCCATAATATAACCTGTTGTTAGCTCCATCAGTGTACTGATACAACCTGTTTGAGAATTTCTCCTCCCTGGGGCATCTGGATGGCTCAGTTGGAAGAGCATGTGACTCTTGATCTTGGGGTCGTGTGTTCAAGCACCACATTGGGTCTACATCTTAACATTACTTAAAAATAAAAATAAACCGAAAAAGAAAAAAAGGAAAGGTTTCCTCTCCCTACCCATCCCTCGATAGTGAGGGCCTTGAAGATAAGGATTATATTTTATTCACTTTTGTATCTTTACCTCCTACCATGAAGCTTGAATGTCTATTAAGAGTTCAATAAATGTTTTAGTTAATAAATGAAAAAGAATAGATGAACTAGTAATGACTTGTGGTGGCTCAGCCAGAATCTAAACCTCAATTTTCATGATTCCAAAGCCAGTCTTTTGCACTACTACATATCTATTTTAGATTCTAGAATTGACTTATCCATCATGAAATTGTGACAACTACAGCATAGCACAATGCATGTAAAAGACCTGACACATAAAAAGTGCTCCAAAAATATCAATTCCTTTCCCTGAAACTGAAAGGGAGAAGTGGTGTTGAAAAATATGGTTTCTAAGCTATAGTACTGGGAATTGGGAGCCAGCAAGATTTGCAGATCCAAAGCTGGAGTGGGGCCTGTGTCTCGTTCCAATTCACAGTATGTGTGCTGCCGAAGTGAGCACTAGGCAGTGTCTCGTGCTTCAGAGAGAATAGAGCTCATAGGGTACTAGATACCATCTGGGGAACCAGAGTTCCTTTATTCACACAAGGAGCTTTGTTCCAGGACACTTCAGAAGCTTAGCTGGCAGTGTGATTAGCACACCCAACTTATTGTAGGTTTGTTTGTTTGTTTGTTTGTTTGTTTGTTTTTGTCCAGCTGTTGACACAAAGAATGTGACTCAATAAGACTGGAAATTTATTTTTTTTTTCAACGTTTATTTATTTTGGGGACAGAGAGAGACAGAGCATGAACGGGGGAGGGGCAGAGAGAGAGGGAGACACAGAATCGGAAACAGGCTCCAGGCTCTGAGCCATCAGCCCAGAGCCCAACGCGGGGCTCGAACTCACGGACCGCGAGATCGTGACCTGGCTGAAGTCGGACGCTTAACCGACTGCGCCACCCAGGCGCCCCAATAAGACTGGAAATTTAGATGTGAGGTCCTCCAGGGCAGGGACCATGTCTATCTCCCCATTACAAATGCAGAAGTGAGCATGTGCTCAATAAATAAATGTGTGAAGATTAAAGAAAAAGTGCTATGTTAGGCCAGTATAAGTATAGATAACCTTACCTCACTGCTCAATCCCAATTCCCAGAGCCACTTAGCCAATATAGATATGTGTGCCTTCTTGGGCAAGATTAGTCTAAGGAAATCAGAAAAGTAGAAAATGCAAAGTTCTGAGCTGGTTTTGAACTGGAATGGAATTGGACAAAAATAGAGGTAAGGAACAATATAAGAGGTGATTTGGTTATCTGAGCTTATAAACGATGGTTCCGTTGTTCAAACAGAAAAACAAAACAAAACAACCCATGTCTTCCTGCAGGTATGAAAGAAAAAGAGGGTTCAGGAAATGACCATACAGCTGTAACATAAGGAAATAAAAGAATGAATTTTCCCTGTACAAGCCTCCATTAGAGGCTTTCATGGGTGAACACCTGTGATAAGGCTTTGATGATAAATACCGAGCACCCAAAGTTATCTTAAGGCCTAGACTGATCTGTCTGAGGTGACTGGATTTTGTCAAAACATCCCATAATTACTGAAACTCCACATCCTATAATCCTATGTTAGCCCCATTTCAGATATCAAAAATATTTTAGACAAACTTTTTCATGAAATTTTGTTTTTTCACTAATAGTAATCATTATACTTATAACTGAGTGGAATTCATTTTTACACCTTGGTAAGATTTTTGTTTTAAACAATTCAAAATGTAGGGGTTTAGGGTGGTTGGCTGGCTCAGTGGTAGAGCATGTGACTCTTGATCTTGGAGTTGTGAGTTCAAGCCCCGTATTGGGGGTAGAGTTTACTTTAAAAATAAGTAAGTAAAATAAGCTTTTCTGTGACTTATCCTTTCCCAGGTGTCTTCTCACTCCTGGGACCACAATGGGAAAAAAAATGAAGGGGGCTAAAAAAAGACCTAGAAGCTAAAAAAGGAGTGATTATGTTCTGAGGCACTGTGCTGCCTTGGGTAAAACGTTTATCTCACTGGTCCTCATTTTTTGTTTCCACCTGTGAAATGAATAAATAATCTTGCCTGGGCTCCCAAAATTATTCTGAGAATCAAATGAGTCTGGGAAGTACTTTGTAATTATAAAGCTCAGAACAAAAGTAAATTGTTTTTGGCATTAAGGAAAGGGCTGAGGAGAAAGTCAAGTAAGAGGGTAAGGAAGGAGAGTTAAAGAAAGCGAAGAAATGAGGACTTTCTGCAGAGCATCCTTCATAGAAGCTATAATGCTGAATGTTCAGCAACTTGGTATGTATGTGTCTAAAGGTTAGTATGTGCAAGACAGGGTAAAGACCATGTTGTACTGAAATTGTCACATGAAGACCATTTCTTTATTGTATTTCTTTTAAGTACACTGACCTACATGAAATTGAAGTTTGTGCCCTAAACCATATAAAAATTTTTAAAGATCAACTTCATCAAGGTATAATTTACATAAAATTCAATGAGTTTTCATACAGTTATACACTTATTTCACAGTCTACATATATGTAGATTATCTCCATCAGTGCTTCCCAGTTAATCCTTAAATGTTCAGCTCTGTGCCGTATACACCCACTGATGTACTTTCTATCACTATCAATTAGATTTGCCTTTCCTACAATTTTATATACATGGAATCATTCAGTAAGTAGTTTTTGTGTCTGGCTTTTTTCACCCACTATAGTGTTTCTAAGATTATTTACATAATGTTGAGGTTATCAGTAGTTCCCTCCATGTTGCTAAATGGCAGTCTGTTGCCTGCATATACAACAATTATCCATATATCTATTGGTGGACATTTGGGTCATTTATAGTTTTTTGCTGTTGTGAATTAAGCTGATACATACATTTGTGTACAAGTCTGAGTGTGGATATATGTTTTCATTCTTCTGGTAAATCGGAAAGAGTGGAATGGCTGATTTGTT